AGGACTGCCTGAGACCACCAGGAGCTGGAAGAGGCAAGAAAGAGTCCTCCCCTAGAGCCTTCAGACGGGGCACGACCCTGACAGCACCTTGATTTGGGGCTTCTGGCCTCTAGAGCTGGGAGACAATGAATTTCTGTTGTTTGAAGCCACCCTGTCCGTGGTGCTTTGTTGTGGCGGCTCTGGGAAACTAACACAGCAACGGTGTTGTGAGGCTTCCCCTCTGAGAGCAGTAGGCTGGGTGAGAGGGATGTCTTCTGGTCTGTTCTACTCAAAGTGTGGTCCTTGGACCAGCAGCATTGGCTTTGCCTGGAGCTGGATGGAAATGCAGAACCTCAGGCCACTGAATCAGCTTCTGCATTTTCACAAGCTCCCCAGGAGGTCTGGGGGCACATCACAGCTAGAGAAGCGCTGGCCAGGTATGGAAGTTACATGTGCTCCAGCCTCTGCATGTTACAAGCTCAGGGGGAACAGGCCCTACCAGTCCCCGTCACGCTGACCTGGAGACGCTAAGTCCTGTGCCTCAGGCCTCACAGCAGGGAGAGATGGGACTTGGTTCTTAGCACATTCAACAAATATTTCCAGAGTGTCTGCTCCATGTCACAACTTGGCTACACGTGGGAGGTTATGTTAGTTTCCCGTGACTGCTGTAACAAATTACCATAAACTGGGGGCTGAAAACAACACATACTTGTTCTCTCACGCTTCTGGAGGCCAGAAGGCTGAAATCAAGGTGTCGGCAGGGAAGGTGTGCTCCCTGGAAGGCTCTAGGGGAGGGCTCTTTCTTACCACTTCCAGCTTCTGGTGGCTCCAGGTGCCCCTTGGCTTGGGGCTGCATGTCTTTAACCTCTGCCTCTGTCTTCACATGGCCTTCCTCCCTCTGTGTGTCTGGGTCCCAAATCTCCAGCTCCTTTCTCTTAGAAGGACACTGGTTGTTGGATTTAGGGCCCACCAGATAATCCAGGATGATCACGTCTTGAGATCCTTAGCTTAATTACATTTGCAAAGACCCTTTTCCCAAATAAGTTCACGTTCACAGGTTCCAGGCATTAGGATATGGATGTATATTTTGAGGTCACCATTCTGCCCACTAACAGAGGCATCCGCAGACTCTACTTGCTCTGCCCCAGTCCCGTGCTCAGCCCTGATTCTGCACTTATGAGAAGGTGGCATAGCCGTGCGGGTTTTCTTAATCAGAATGCTTTGGCGGCAAGAATGGCTGGAACCTGACAGCAAAGCCCTGGGGACTGTGGACCCCTTTCCCACCCCCTCCTCCCCCCGCCTCTATCCCCAGGCACCACAAGGACATTGGCTCCGTGGCAAGAGGCCAAGACAGCTGTGTCTGTAGCCCTGGTCGTTGTCACCCTCACTGAGGACCACACCAGGCATGTGGCCAAGAGGCCAAGAGGCCCCATGCCTCGTAGCCCTTTTGCTTATGTCTCTACCCTCATCAGAGCTATCTGAAAAAAAAACTGGAAAAATACACCCTCTTATTGCCTACTCTTTTCTGTCCTTCGCACAGTCTCAACGTCAAATGACATTGGAGAATGACCCAGTACAGACCCCAAGATACCTCCCAAGAGTCTCCACGCTCCACTGGGGCCCACAGCACCTCTCCTGTAGCACCAGGGGCAGCACTTAGGTGGGCTTGTGTTTCTAGGCTTAGGGCCAGACCCCAGTTTGAATCCTGTCCAAACCACTTACTCACTGGGTGACCATGGAGAATTACTTCACCTTGCTGAGCTTCAGTCTCATCTTCTATAAATTGGAAATAGTATCAGAACTTCCCTCATACAGTCATTGGGAGGCTTCAGCGAGCATGGCACATCGTGGCACTTGCTAGAACTTATGTTCTCGTCATCATCCCTGTGTCACTAGGACAAGTGAAATTCTCCAAGCCTGGGACTGAGTCGCACTAAATTTGCATGCCCAGAACCCAGTACAGAGTAGGCACCTAATAATTGTTTGTTGAATAAATTAGAAATAAGACTCAGGCACAGAAAGGGAAAGAAAGGTTATTTGAACAAAAAGATACTTTTTTTAAACACGTGTTTATCTATTCAGATAGCATTTATTGAGTGCCTGCTGTATGCCAGCACTCACTAGACGCTGAGAACATAGCCATGAACCCACCGATGCAGACACGGGCCCAGCCCTCAGGGAGCTTGCATTCTGGTGGCAAAAGTAACCAGATCATCACTCAAATAACCTGTTGCCTCAAACCCAAGGGAGCACTGGGGGGGAGGAAGAGCTTGCAGCCCCTACTTGGAAAAGAGCATCATTTCTGGGGTTCACTATGGGACCCTCATTTTTTTTTTTTTTGAAAATAGGTCTGTTAACACACTCACAAGGCCAGGACCACAATGCCAGAGACCATGGGAGTTCCCGAGATAGGCGGGGAGCTTTCTGGAAGGTTCTCATGCCCTCTTGCCCCTCTCCCCAAAGGGTCGTTCCAAGCTTGGTGCTGAGTCCATGTGTTTGATTTCCCAATTCCACCCCCCAGAAATGGAGGGGCAGCGGGCGGACGCACATCCCCAGCTGTCACCAAGTTAGAGAACAAGGAGCCTTAACTGACGGAGACACACCATATGAACAGCCCCTTCAGGGCTCTAATTCATTTTCGAGACATTTAAGAATAACAAAATGTTTTAATGATTTCTTAGGGGAATTAGGAAGACATATTTTTGTTCTCATTAAATTTTATCCTTAGACACAAGAACCAAATGTCAGATGTGTTGTTGGTGCTCAGAGCTTCCCTGCTCACTGTCCCTGCCACACACACCGCCCCAACCCCCTCCATAAAAATGACACTCCTGGAAAATTGGCCAGGATGCACACTCTCCTGTTTTTATATTTCTTGACAGGCAAATTATTTGTCGAAATACTTCTCCCCCCAATTCCCCCTGCCCCCCCGAAGCCACACAAGCCCTGATTCAACATTTTTGTTTTGAGTGACTGCTGCCAACACAGATCTCTGGCAGAGAAGCGATACA